AAAAAAAAAAAAAAAAAAAAAAAAAAAATGTGGGGGCTGTCACAGGAAGCTATGTGGCCAACCAGGCCCAGGCCAGGTCATGAAGGACCTCTCAGTGTGACATGGAGTGGAGGAGGCCTATACTCTAGAACCATGCTGCTGGTTCAAATTGTATATTGTGTACGTAACAAAGATGAAATGAGACCGTGTTTGAAAACTGACTAGAGGGCTGGCAGGATGGCTCAGTGGGTAAAGGCACTTGCCTCCTCCATGCCTGACCATATGAAATCAATCCCTGGGACCTACGTGGTAGAAGAGAACTGGTTCCTTCAGTTGGCCTCTGACTCCACATGCACATTGTGGCACATGCATGCTGCACACACTGAAAAAATAAATACAAATTAATTTTTAAAAAAGTGACTATAGCCAGACAGTGGTGGCACACACTTTTAATCCCAGCACTCCGGAGGCAGAGGCTGGAGGATCTCTGAGTTCGAGGCCAGTCTGGTCTACAGAGTGAGATCCAGGACAGGCACCAACACTACACAGAGAAAACCTGTCTCGAAAAACAAAAAAAAGAAAAAACCAAACAAAATGACTATAGCGGTGCCTGGCATGCGAGAACTTTGTAAGCTTTCGTCAATACATAATGGGAGCAATGGGGCTGGAGAGATGGCTCAGCAGTTAAGAGCACCAGCTGTTCTTGCACTGGACTCAAGTTCTGTTCCCAGCACCGAATGGTGGTTCCCAGCCATCTGCAACTGGTCTAGGGAATCTGATGCTCTGTCTAACCTCCAGGGCATCAGGCACAGGCATAGTGCACATAGATACATGAAGGCAAAACGCTGGTAAACATGAAAATAGATAAAATCTGAAAAGAAAGAAAAAGAGAGCTGTCCAGATGGCTCAGCAGGTAAAGGCACTTGCTGAGCGAGCCTTGTGACCTGAATCAGACCCTCGATCCCAGGTGAGGTGGGAGGGGAGGACTGACTGCAAAAAGTTGTCCTCTGACCTCACAGGTACATAAAACACACACACACACACACACACACACACACACACACACACACATTTTTCTTTTTTAAAGAAAAAATACTGAAGTAAAGAGACAGTGTTCAGGTCCTCACCAGTACTTTGCATTTGAATTCATTTCATTTTTAGACACTTTGGGAAGTGGATACTGCTGTTCTTATGAAAGAAGATGCAGCATGGGGGAATCCTGTCACTCTTGCTTCCCAGTCTGTTTATGCTGCTGTCACACAGTAGGACCACAGTAGGGAGTCTGGGATTGAACCTGGTGGCAGAGCAGGGAGTCAGCAGGTGCTCTTGTGTTGGAGAAGGAGGCCTCCGAACGAACAGCGAGGGAGGTCGTCACCCTGGAGCTCCTCTAACCGCACACTGACGCCCTGTCATCCCCCCTCCAGACACCCACAGGAATGCGGAACTGGACCCAGTCACTACAGAAGAACAGGTCCTGGACGTCAAAGGGTACCTGTCCAAAGTCAGGGGTATCAGCGAGGTACTGGCCAGGCGGCACATGAAGGTGGCTTTTTTTGGCCGGTGAGTACTTCAAAGCCCTCCTGCTTCTCTTTTCCTAGCCAGGGCGTGGGGCTGGATGCAGGTGAGGAGGGAGGTCCTCACCACTGGGAGCAGTGGCGTGCTTCTTTTGATTGATTTTTTAAAAAGGGAACACTGCTTTTTTAAATTACATTTTTATTTATTTGTTGGGGGATGTGCATGTGTGAAGAAGGTCCAGATAGCTTGTGGGAGTCAATTCTCTCCTTCATCCTGGGGAGCAAACTCAAGCTGTCTGGATTGGCAGTGAGCATCTTTACCCTCTGAGCCATCTCAGCAGCCCTTTTTAATGTTTAAATTGTGATACTTAACATAAAAATCTTACGCCATTCGGTGGTGGTGGTGGCGGCGGCAGCGCATGCCTTTAGTCCCAGCACTTGGGAGGCAGAGCCAGGCAGATCTCTGTGAGTTTGAGGCCAGCCTGGTCTACAGAGCGAGTTCCAGGACAGGCACCAAAACTACACAGAGAAACCTGTCTCAAAACATAAAAAAATAAATCTTTATGGATGGAAATAGAACCAGGGCTTCACATGTGCTCTATGTCTGTCAACGAGCTGTGCCCCATCTCCTGGATGAGCCATTAGAAAGTATGTGTCCCTGGTGAGATGTTGATAATGCTGTGCAGCTAGTCCCCAGAGGTTTTCATCTTGTGGAACACAAGTTGTTTCTAGTAAATGATGACTTCCTGGTCCCCACTCTCCCCAGCCCTTGGCAACCATTATTCTGGTCTCAGACCTGCTGCTGTGGTCATCCTGCCTCAGCCTCCCAGTGCTGGGATCTGATTATACTTAATCATTACCAGGAAGCCTAGAATTAAGAAGTTACTGTTCTAGACACCACATACATGGAACCATACAGAATTTTTCAGAGGTTGTTTGTTTGTTTGTTTGAGACAGAGTCTGTCCATGTAGCCCTGCTATGTAAACTATGCTGGTCTCAAACTCACAGAAATACTCCTGCCTTTGCCTCCTGAGTGCTAGAATTAAAGGCATCCGCCACATCCACCACCATGTGCAACAGTGTTTCTCATTCAGTTACTGGCTTGTCTCAACAGTTGTCTATGTTGGACGTGTCAGAGCTTGCTGTGTGTGTGTGTGTGTGTGTGTGTGTGTGTGTGTGTGTGTGTGTGTGTGTGGTCTGGTGGTTGTGTGTCTTCCTCAGTCATTCTCTACTTTAGTGAGGCAGGTTCTCACGGTTTAGAACTGAGCAGTTCTAAGCTTGGTTAGGTAGCCAGGTTGCCCCAGGGATGGGAGGGAGAGCTGGGATTGCAGGTGGCTGCCACACCCTCCCTGGCTCTTCTGTGGGTTCCGGAGCTCTCCCCAGCCCAGCTCCTTCCTGTGGAAGGCTGAATATTCCTTTGCATGCGCATATGACTTTTTATTTGTTCATCTCCATGAACATTTGCATTGTTCTTTGGCTTTTTGACTAACAGATAATGTCACTGTGTGCACAAGTGTGTAGATGTCCTTCCTGGTCCCTGCTTCTGGTTCTTGGGGTTTGTACGCAGAAGTGGGATTACTGAAGAACACTACCCTTCTGTTGTGAAGCTTCTAGCGCTCACAACTGGTTTCTTCGCAGCTGCACTGTTGTGTAGTTCCCAGCAGTGCACATGGGTTCCTATCTGCACATCCTTTCAACAGTCTTCTGTGGTGAGAAGTAACAGCCTAATGTGGGGTTCTTTGTTTTTGTTTATTTTTGTTTTTGTTTGGTGTTTGGAGATGGGGCCTTACTTACTGTGATGCTCAAACTGCTCTTGGACTCCTGGGCTCAAGTGGTCCTGCCACAGCCTCAGTGCTGGCACCCCCATGTCGGGCTCCCAGTGTGGTTTGATTTCCATTTCCTTAATGTTAGTTAGTGATGCTGGGCTGCTTTTCATGTGTTGATTGGGCTTTTATATATCTAGGAGAAATGGCTATTCTTTCATTAGGTTATTCTTTGGGTTATTGTTTCATTGTAGAAGCTGTTAAATATGTTGGTGGGTTTTCTTTAAAGGTTCATTTATTTTTTGTTATGCTTATGGGTGTGTGTACTTGAGTGCAGGTCTCAGTGCAGGCCAGAGCATTAGATCCCACTAGAGCTGGAGTGACAGGCACTTGTGAGTTGCCCACGTGGGTGTTGAGAACTGACCCTGGCTCCTCTGCAAGAGCAGTGCACACTCTTAACCACTGAGCCGCTGGTTCTTAACCTGTGGGTTGTGACCCCCTTAGGTCACCCTTTCCCAGAGGTCGCCTAAAACCATCAGAAAACACAGATATTTATATTACAGTTAATAACAGTAGCAAAATTACAGTTACAGAGTAGCAACAAAAATACTTTTATGGTTGGGGGTCACCACAACATGAGGAACTGTATTAAAGAGTTGCAGCATGCTGGGTGGTGGTGGCGGCGGTGGCGGTGGTGGCACACGCCTTTAATCCCAGCACTTGGGAGGCAGAGACAGGCAGATCTCTGTGAGTTCGAGGCCAGCCTGATCTACAGAGCGAGTTCCAGGACAGCCAGGGCTACACAGAGAAACCCTGTCTCGAAAAAACAAAACAAAACAAACAAACAACAACAACAAAAAAGAATCAGCATTAGGAAGATTGAGAACCACTGCACTGAGCCTCTGCTCCAGCCCTCTTAATACATTCTGTATACTTGTAAATCTCAGCCATTCTGTAGGTTCCTTTTCCCTCTGTCAGTCATAGCCTTTGGTGTCCAGTCCTTTATTTGATGTAGTCTAATCAACTACTTGGACTTTTTCCCTGTCTGTGTGGTGTCGTATCTAAGCGGTAACTGCTGTGTGGTGAAGCTTGCCCCTTTGTTTTTAGAGTTTCAAGTATAATAAGGAGAATCAGGCACTAAAAACAATTAACACCCGAGGTTGGGGTGTGTCTCAGTTGGTAAGTGCTTGTCTGGTATGCATGAAGCCCTGGGGCCCAGTATGATGGCACTCACACCTATAGCAGCATTCTGGAGGTGGCAGCGTGTGTGTGTGTGTGTGTGTGTGTGTGTGTGTGTGTGTGTGTGTGTGTGTGTGTGTAGTTCAAGGTCATCCTCCATATTGGGTTTGAAGCCAGCCTATATTAAAAACAAAATTAAAATTCTACATAGGTTAAAGGTTCCTAGATAAACTGTTGCTTGGCACACAATGGTAGTGTAGAATGAGCACTGTGTCTCAAGTCCTGTCCCTGATGACTCGTGGTCTCAAGTGTGCCCTCAGCTTCTCTGGCCTGTTGTTTCTTCATCCTTTCCTGGAAGGTGCGGCCTGGGCCTCACCTGGGTGCTAGTGTCTGCCCATGTCACTGGGCACATGGAAATCAGTGGCTCTGAAGCTGTGTGCCTCTGGGGCTTGCCGTGCAGAATGAGTGAGTGTTCAGCACTAAAGCCTGGAGTGGGCAAGTCTGCAAGAAGAGCTGTGTGCAAGAAGTGGGACGTAGAAAGGGGTGTGCTAAATAGAACACTAACGGAATCTTCCTTTTGCCTGGCTGGCACTGGTGGGCCTGAGAAGTAGGGCTTCATGTATGAGGAGAAGCATGATGGGAAAATAGGCACATAGCAGGCCCAGTGTTGGGAAGCAGGGACATGAGATCATTTGGCCAGGAAGACAACCCTGGGGGCAGGGCCCATGGTTTAGGGAAGAGCACGATTTACTTTGAAGACAGGCAGTTTCCATCAATGCTTAATGAGTGATGCTGATGAAAGAGAGCACATGTACCAGCCCCTGCTGGGCTGAAGTGATGGGCACATAACAGCTTCAGGCTGAGTGATGCTTGCCTGACCATTTTAATAAACGGAGTCCTCCTTCCAGTGCTGCCTGGGTGCCACTGTCATGGCAGAGGGTGAGACTCCGGAGCCTAGGCTGGGCACTACAAGTGTGACAGCCCAGACTGTGCTGTTTTCTCCTAGGACGAGCAATGGGAAGAGCACCGTCATCAACGCCATGCTCTGGGACAAAGTTCTGCCATCTGGAATTGGCCACACCACCAATTGCTTCCTGCGGGTGGAGGGCACAGATGGCCATGAGGCCTTCCTCCTCACTGAGGGCTCGGAAGAGAAGAAGAGCGTCAAGGTGGGTGCTGGGTGCCAGTGGGTGCAGTCTGGACTTGGGACTGCTAACACATGAGTGTCACAGGACTCACCCAACCTCCATGCTCATGAACTTTGTGGAGGATGGTAGAGTGTTGGGGGGGTTCAGAAAAGTGGGGCACCAAGAACAAGGCCCAGCTTGTTGAGGGTGAGAGGCCGAGCTGGCTGGCCTGTGCAGGGAGCGGGGAGGAGAGCACATATGTTCTCCTGGGCTTGCCAGCGGGCAGTCTCTGGTACAGCCAGCAG